AGCAGCAGCCGGCTGGGTCGCTCGCTCCTCCTTCCCGCTCCAGCGATCCCTGCTGTACTCTAATCACACGATTATTATGCCATTAAAATGTCATATTCACAGAAATCCACATAAACAAGGCACTAGCAGTTGCCAGAAAATTGTAGTTTTACTGCTAATGACCTGCTCTCCCCCCGTAGTACCACTCCCTTTTTTTTTTTTTTAATATTTTCCCCCCATTTTTTTGTTTCTGAGCCGTGATTTAAGAGGCAGATGATGAATTACATCTTCGCACCGAGAGGCTTTCGATCCTTGTCGTACAGCTGCGGTGAAGAGCTGCCTCCATACCTGCTGTGGGGGTTTGCAGCTTGCCCTTCGCCAGCCAGGCAGTGGGCAGTTTTGGGGCGATGCTTTGTAGTGGGTGGTTTTGGGGGGGTGCCTTTGGTGGGCTGGCGAAGGGAGAGGCTCTCGGTGAGCCCTGCTGTCGGCTGGGCACTGAGATGGGAGCTCCTCTCCGCAATCAGTTTTGTCTATGTCTCCTTGCCTGGGGGGGGTCCCTCTCGTTGGCCCCCTGGGGACCCCCCCTCAATGCAGTGTCCTCCCAGAGAGGAAGGGGTGGCAGGGCTGGCCCGGGCACTTGTTTGCCAAGAGCAGCGGGCTACCCCTTGGATATATTTTTCCACCCTTTCCTGCAGACTCGTTGAGTCTCTTGAACTCTTCTAAGCATTGACTATGTTTCCTATAATTAATATCAGCCATTAAACTGCAATGTTGAAAGAGAAATTACCTAATTCCAAGAAAAAAAAAGAAAATTTATTACTAGTACATGAGAGAAAATGAATATGAAACTTGCGGAGAGGAGCCCTGTAGAAGATAAATAGAAAGGCAAGTGGAGTATTGACTTGATCCTTTTCTAGTGCAGGGTAATTTGGCTTCTAAAGTGAGTTAGATCATAATAAATTAAATTTAGATTTCTGCACATCAGTTAAATAACTCCCAAGACAGAATTCTGATGTGAGGAAAAGGTGATAATACATGGCAGAAATATTATAATGAAGACCTTATCCAGTAACCCGTAACTGATGCGCCCTGGGTGAGCGAAGGGGATTCCTCCTTCCGCTTTTACTTACTTTTCCCATCCCTGATCGAGCACCAAGAAACAGGTGAGTCCCCGCGTGCAGGTCCGGGAGGTCTCCTTCCTCGCTCCGCTTGCGTAGCTGGGAGCTTTTAATCCGAGGGCGCTGCCTTGCTTTCCCCCAGTGCTTTGCAGAGGTATTTTTTTGCAGAGGTTGGTGCACTTGTGTGTCTGAGCATCCCGCTCTGATTTCCGTTACCCTGAGGGGAAGCTAGGGATGGAAAGCGGAGGAGTGCCCAGAAGATTTGGACAGGAGATGTGGCTTGAAAGCAGATGACCAAACCTGGGTATCTACTTCTGCCTGAGAAAGTTAACCCAATCCCTGGGCTTGTTTTATAAGTGAAGCTCTGCGTTCGGGTAGTGGTTAAAATAACTCTTTAATCTCTATTTGACATCTATTTGCTCAGACATGTATTTAGCTCCCGATATTTAGGAACCATCCTACTGATAGTTTTCCTTAACCCAAAGAGGAGAGGCTGGGTGAATCCAGGTGGGCTGATGTCTTCCAGGTGGAGATTCCACGGGGTTATTAGTTACTCACTGCAGTGGGAACCAAGAATGCAACCCTTGGATGCAAGGTGTGTCCAGGGCAGGATGAGAAGCAAATGCCATGGATAAGGCACTGGTATCTGTCCATGTATCCATTTACCACTGGGATCCCTCTGTAGCAGGGCGGTAGCGGGGATAGATGGATGTCCCAGACATGGAAGCGCGCGCTGAGACCCTCCCGTGTGCCAACCCCCTGCTTCTGCTGGCCTGGCCAGAGCCTTGCTGCCCTTGCAGCACCTGCAGAAGCTCCAGTGTTCCTGGAGCCGTGGCTGCCCGTGGGAACCCACCATCCCTCCCGCTCGAGCTGTCGGATGCTCGCCGGGCTGCTCCCCTTCCAGCTGGTCCACAGCTGTTTGGTTTAATTGACAGTAAAATATATATATACACACACATCCAACAGCCTTAAGTGCTATGTGGCCGCTTTTAAAAGCCATTTCTCTTCTCACTAAGTTTGATAAAACAACTTTTACTTTTCTTCACAGCATAAAAATTTAGGGACAGTAACTCTGCGGCAGTTGTTTTAATGGTGCCAGGCTCCCCGAGGTCATCATGAAATCTTATAAATGTCAGGCTGTTGGTGTCTCCAAGATGCGATCAGCTCACTTTTCCCTGATCTTTTACTGTGGTGGTAAATCACGTTTTGCAAGATGCCTTAGCAAAAACATAAACAGTATTTATCACCTTGTGTATGTCGGTCCTCCCGAAAACCCCATAGGTGGGTTACGTATATCCTCCTCGTAAACCTCCTGCAGTGACCTTACTGATTTTGTAACTTTCTCCCAGCCTCGAATAACTTTCTCCTGGTCCTGAATAACTTTCTTCCAGTACAGGTGGTGGCTCGGGGGTTTCATTTGATCCTCCCTGCATGGGGGTAAGTGCTGGAGGAGCTCCTGAGAAGGCCGTGGGGTGGATGGATATGAAGACCGGGGGAGGATGAATATGACCCTGTATCTGGAAACCCCTGCATCCCATCAGCTTTTTGGGGGTGCTCATGTCTCTGTGACCCAGAGTGGTGTGGTGCATCGTGTGGCTGGAGGCTCCCGGCGTGGTCCTGCCGTGGTTCACTTGCAGGAGCTGGTGCTCCTGCCTCCCCTCCCTACGACTAGAGAAAACGTGCTGCCAGATACGAGTAAAATCAATTACGGGATAAAAATCACCCATTTCAAAAGCTTCATTTTGCGCTATTAGCAGGCAAAATCGGCTTTGAGGTGGTGTGAACCGAGGGGGGGGGGCGGGGAAGAAAAGAAGGCAAAAAGATCAATTATTGGATAAGATCACAATTTTCTTTAGGGATGAGATGACTCTAAATGTTTGCATCTTTCCGTGTTACATGTAGGCTGAGATCAAAGAGGTTGTGCTGCTGTAATGATGAGATCTTATCGGCGCTGCATTGTGCTCGCCGGCTCCGGCACCACGCTGCTGAGGGATGCTTAAATCCCGCGATGTCTGTCGGAGCCGTCGGGTAAGCCTGAAATGCAGCTCCTCCATCCTTTTGGAGGAGAGGGACCACACGGGCACATGCTTGCCCGCTCCTCTCCCTCTGGTAGGGCTGACGTCCGTGGTGGGAGACTTCTTGTGGCAAAGTCGGACAGAAAACGGGCTGGGAGGACAACGTCCCCCTTCTTCCAGGGTCCCATTGCTGGAGCTGGCCCTGGGGCCAGGGTACGGCTATGGAAATGTGGGGTTGCGCTTGATCAAACTGCTTCTGTCTGATGGCCCTTTCCCGCCTGAAGGGCTACAGGGGCGATGGGGCATGTGGTGTAAAATACCTTTGGTTTTTGGCTGGAGAGAAATTAAAACCCTAACAAGACCTTTGCGCTTTTACGTTTCTGGAGACCGTGCTATTTGAGAGGGGGGATCCACCAGAGACCTGAGTGTGGTTTCAAATTAGTCATTTTAAATTGAAATCGGCAGGCTCTCCTTGACGTGCTGTTTGAAGACCTAAGGAAAAAAAAAAAACAAACCCACACTGAAGACCTAATGAGACTCCTTGTTAGCCTGCCTTTGCGATGCTTGCCCATGCTGCAGGGCTGACCGACCTCCGGCAGGGCTCAGGAGGACCTCCGGAGCAGGGTCAGGTATCCCCCGGCCTCTCCTCTCTCTAACGGGGCTGACTTTGTGCGCGCAGGGCTCGGACGTGGACTGGGACGACCTGTGGGATCAGTTTGAAGAGCGAAGGTACCTGAACGCCCGGAGGTGGAAGGGCGGCGAGGACCCATACCGGCTCCATGCCTTTAACCAGCGGGAGAGCGAGAGGATCCCCAGTGACCGCGCCGTCCGCGACACCCGCCATCACAGGTTCTGCCTCCCCCCGATTTCTCCTGGTCTTCCTCACGAAACTTCATTATATGCGTGGATAGTCCCATTCCTCTTCAGGGCCGTGTTTTTGGGATGCTAGGTGGGTCTAGGCCCTTCACTCATGCCCAGTGGGTACGCTTGGGATTAGTTCTGCCTGGGTTGTATTTTTAGGATTGAATCTTTCACTTTACTTGATTTCTTGGCATGTCTGGCAGTCCTAAACCTGTATTAATTATTTCAGGACCACAGGGAAAGAAAGGAAAAGCCTTTTTTTCATTTCCTTCAGAAGAGTAGTGGGTGTGCGAGAGCACATCTCCACGATGGGCAAATTTTACACTGGTGCTGGGAACTCTTGCTCTGCAGAGGATGCAGTGAGATGGTGCAAGGGGGATAAAATAACTGTTGAACACTTATTTTTCTTTGCAGAGAGAGGAGTTAATGTGGGGAATAAGGGACTATTGGTGAGTGAGGGGGAGAGGAAGGTAAAAACTTGTTGGGTTACTAGGCGCTCCAGCACCATCGGGGTCAAAAATATCCTTCGGCACCCAAAGGACCTCTTGGGAGAGGCAGGGAGGATTGCAGCGAGGGTTGCCTTGCGGGACCTGCACTCCCGTGCTCCTGTCAGCCTGAGACGGGCAGGGTGGGAGTTTTGGTGGACCCTTGCTTGTGGTGAGCGAGGCTGTAACCTCCCACAGGTCACCACTCAAACTCATCGGGGAAGAGCTGCCCTTCATGGCTGCAGGTTGTTGGTGGTCAGTGTGGTTGTTAGTCTGTTGGACAGAGCGATGCTGGGGTGTCCCAATGGTGTGGGAAATGTTCCCAAGGTTCTCTCGATGGAGTTTTCCTCCTTGTCCTCCAAGGGCGCTGTGCATGCCTGGCCCGCGTCGGTGGTCCCCAGCCCACAGCCGGTACAAGCCCTTCCCGAGGAGCCCGGCATTATGCCCCAGCCCGCTGGCAGCAGCTGTCCTCTACTGCCTTCTCCTGGGAGGCCTTTGGGGTCAAGTCCTGCTCCGGTGGGAGCGCTGTGCTGGACCCAGCCATGGCATCTTGCTGCCCGCGCTGCCCAGGCTGCACCTTGCTCCCGGGTCAGAGCGACTCAACTCCCGGCATCTGACCCGACACTGCATTTCCCCTGTTCCAGTCCAAATGCAGCACTTCTAGGCTGAAACACTGAAACAGCACCAGTTCTCCAGCCCTACAGCAAGCAGTGTGTTTATTTATTTGTTTGTTTATTCTTTTAGCTCCTTTTTGTAGTAAGGACCAGATGCTCCTTTCTCCGGAGAGGAGCTGTCAGCCCTGACGGACGCCTGTTATAGCTGTGCAGAGGGCGAACGTGCTATTCCTGGGGAGAATTAATGCCAGGGATATTAACCATCTGCCCTATTAAAAGGGAAGATCGGCTCGGCTGCCCCTCGCCGTCGCCCCGCTGCGCAGTGGCAGCCACCTCGTTCCTGGGCGGGCGGATGCGGCGCTGAGTGCTCCTGCGAAAAAAAAGTTCTCATTAAGGAGGAAGCGAGGGCACAGCACGTGGGAGGGGCTGGGGCTAATTGCATTTGCTTCCAATTTCCTTAACCCGGTAATTGGATTCTGATTTATTGAGTACGTCTGAACAATGCCGCAGATGATGCACCATTAGCCGAGCATTAGAGCGGCCACAGAGGAAATGGGGATGCCGGGAGATCTGGGGGAGGCAGGCGTTGGTGGGTGACATTGAGGAGGAAGAGCATGGTGGTCGACAGGGAGAGGAAGGTGCAGAGTCTGCAAAGCCCTCTCTGGAAAGAAGTCCTTGTTCATGGTGCAGGTGATGCTCTGGCACTACTGTGCAGCCTGCGAGGGGGTCCCGAGTTGCACAGTGGAGCTGGGTGGGAAAGCATGGATGAGCATGGCCTGCTCTTAGAGCAGGGAGGAATTGCTGGTGGCTGTGCAAGAAGAACGTGTAAGGAGAGTCCAGTACGGGTTGGACTAGGAGAGGTCTCTCCTGCAACGGGGAGAGCAGAGTACCGGAGGCTGGGGTAGCATGAGAGATGGGGAAACCCCCAGGGCTCACACGGTGCGACCTGCTGGAGGCTGTGCTTAGAGACTTGGTTTTGACGGCAAACCTGGCTTACGCTGCTTTCTGTGAGCCAGACTGGAAGTGCTCAGGCTTTCGTGTATGATAGTGAAGCCAAAGAGCTGGACCTCAATTCTGGTCCAGCTGACCTTGGGGGAAGGTACATCCTAGCACAGGCCCCACACCAAGGGGCACCACCGTGCCGGGAGCCATGCCCAGCTGCTCCTGCCCAGCTGCAATTCCCAAAGAAAGTTCGCAGGAAGGGCAGGAGTCTTTGGAGAGGGTCTTAGCCACCTCTTGAGCACATCCCCATGGGCAAGCAGGCTCTCCTTCAGCCTCTCAGCCAGTTGCTGTTGCCTGAAGCAGCTTGCTCTGCTCTCCGACCGTGTTTTCAGCGTGCTTGCTCTCCATCTCTCTTATCCCCTCTGTACGACATGTGTCAGCTCCAAGACTCACAGACCTGCAGATCACGGCAATGCCCAGAGACCAGCACCTCGCAGTCCTGATCCTAGTGCCTGGGACGTGGGAGTGCTGCTCCTTACAGCCTCTCTGTGGGGATGGTTGCAGAAGATTTCCTGGAGTTTTGTTTGCTAATCCACCCAAGCATCTGGACTTGCCAACAATAGCTGAGTATACAAAATCTGGCAAGGGCTGAGCAGCAAGCTCCTTGCCAGAAGGTCATGGAGAGGGCAAATAGTTTCGGCAGGCTGGGATATGGCACTGACAGCCAGTTGCTTAGCAATGTTTGCTGGATTGATTTTATTTTTAAATTGTAGCCAGTGGAATGGTTTCAGATGGAGAGGAATCGCAGTGCTCTGAGGAATCGAAGCGGGAGAAATCATGGTGGGTCTCCTTGCCTGCCTCTGGCCAGCACAGGGCTGCAACCTCACGCTCGGTTTGTGGGTGATTTCAGCCAGGAAAATGCCATGTTTTCTGTGGACCGTGTCATGTCCCTCAGCCTGGAAGATCTCGCAGCTGGAGCATCGCTGCTGCTGACCTGCTTGCATGTCCCTGCTGTTGACTGAGTTCCTGGTTGCATGTTGACTAAGCCCTCAGACCGCGTGAAGGTACATCTTTCTCCAGGAGAGGACCAGGTACAGTCCCGTGGTGGTATATCGTGTCCCCACCAACAGTCAAGCTTAGAAAATTCCCTGTGACCACAGCAGCAGGCTGGACCCGGATCTGAGTGGCACATCCACATCGTGCACAGCCAGCGCATGCCGTTGGGGGGGGGGGCTAGGGCCCCTCCGGGGGGGGGCGGCTAGCGCCCCTCCGCCGCGGTAGCCACACGCCATTGGGATTACCTCATCGCCACATCCCCCCTTCTGCAACTCCCGCCGGCAAACCGCAGGACCAAACCGGCAGCGGGTGAGTCAGTGCCAGGCGCGCGCGCGTGGGGAGAGGAGCTGAGGTTTCCGGTGTTGCGCAGCGGCTTGGAAAGCCGGCAGGGAGGATGCGTCGCCCCCAGCCAGAAGATTTCGTCGTGGTGGCTCCTGGGCTGCTTCCATCTGCAGCAGACAGCGCCTGGGGAGGCCGGGACTCGCCGCGCGGTTGCTCCATATGCTGCTTCGGCTGACCTCTGCCTCGTGGCTGGAGGAGAGGGAAGAGCCTCCAGCAGGCATCTCTAGCTATTGCAGATCACGTCAGCCAGCCTCAGGCATCCCCCGCTGCCTGTTTTCCTGTTTTCATCTTGCTTTTTCCCTCCGCAGCACTGATACGTGTTTAGCAGTGCTGTCTCAAGAGCTGGTAGAGCAAGGAGGCCGGGGATGGAGCCCAAATCGTGTCGTAAACTGGAGGAGAGGGAAGAGCCTCCAGCAGGCATCTCTAGCTATTGCAGATCACGTCAGCCAGCCTCAGGCATCCCCCGCTGCCTGTTTTCCTGTTTTCATCTTGCTTTTTCCCTCCGCAGCACTGATACGTGTTTAGCAGTGCTGTCTCAAGAGCTGGTAGAGCAAGGAGGCCGGGGATGGAGCCCAAATCGTGTCGTAAAGGCAACAATCCTCCACATTTTTGAAGCTCCCTTCCTCCCTGAGTCCCAAGTGCTTTACAAGAGGCCCTGCCTACCCGGTTAAGCTTGAATTTTAGAGGTGCTTGAAGGGGTGCGTTTCTGTGTGTATGTGTGTGTCTGAGAGAGAGAAAGCAGCTGCTAAAATCAAGTTGTGATTAAAAGGCGAGGCTGGCAGGGATACTGGCAGATACGAAGATCAGGCGTTCCATCGTCTGCTGAAGACGAGAGCATCCTGGCAGCCTTGGGAGCCTGGTCACGCCAACTTATACCCCCTAGAAAAGCTCTGCCCTTGTAGTCTGTCTTGTTCCCTTTGTGGGGAACAACACACACCGTATGATTTCCTCCTGGTTTCCTCGCTCAAACCCCTGTGCTGTGCCATCTGGAGAGCGTCCATTGGGTGGGAGAGCTGCCCAGGGCTGCTGGCTGTGCTCGTAGGGACTGTTCATGGAGGGATGGGAAGAGGTGATGCCTGTGATGTTCCTCTGGTTCACGCCACTGCTGTCTTGAGTTCACAAGGTCCAGAAATGTCAGGATTTCAGCCCCGGAGCAGAAGCACTAGATATTGCAGCGTTATTTTGACCCATTAATTGTAGCATGTATCCCAAGGGTGCAGAGGCTGCATGTTCAGCATTACGTTGGGGTGGCTGAAAATACCTGACTCTGCTGTGCGTGGGGATGACCAGGAGGAACACGCAGTCCCAAGGGAGGTCCTACCTCTGCCAGGTGTGGTACCTGCATACACGGGCACGTGCGGCTGGGCTTGCATCTCTGCCACTGCACACCTTCCACGTGCCCCCGTGTCCTGTGCGAAGGCGTTTGGCACACGGCACGTGAAAGCACGTGTAGACATCTGCGTGCAGATTGCGAGAGGGCAGTTGTATCTCATGCAGGTTTTGAAGTGGTTCTGGTTTTGGCTGAGTTGATGATTGCATCCCAGGAGTG